TACATATATTTTTTTTAAGTAATTGATGATGTGATTTGCTTTTGAAAAATTAAAATGCATTGCAAATTATCCTATAGCATTTTTGTGTGGTTACCTCTAGACATGTGCGATTCGTTTCGTTCCGAATCGAAATTCGGACGAATTTTCAGAAATTCGGACATTCGGATGTATCCGAATTCCGAATTACAGACATAACGAATGCTATATATTTTTTTTAAATAATTGATAATGTGATTTGCTTTTGAAAAATTAAAATGCATTGCAAATTATCCTATAGCATTTTTGTGTGGTTACCTCTAGACATGTGCGATTCGTTTCGTTCCGAATCGAAATTCGGACGAATTTTCAGAAATTCGGACATTCGGATGTATCCGAATTCCGAATTACAGACATAACGAATGCAAACGAATCCGAATTTCCATTTCCGAAATTCGGTAGCGTTAGTACGAACATTCGCTCCGTTTTCTGTTCTTATTCGTTTCTTATTTGTTTCTTATTCGTTTCGTTCGTTGGAGCAAAGTGACATTAGAGAAGGAGAAACATATTTTTTCCCCCTCAAATGTCACTTTTGCTGCAAACGAACGAAACGAATAAGAAACAAATAAGAAACGAATAAGAACAGAAAACGGAGCGAATGTTCGTACTAACGCTACCGAATTTCGTCCGAATCCGAATTCCGAATCCGAATTGACTTTCACACCCGAATCCTGAAAAACGAAATAACACATATCCGAATTTAAAACGAAACAAAACTAAATGAATTTTTTGGCAGTGCACATGTCTAGTTACCTCATTGTTTCATACTCAATTTTACATGGTTTTTGCCATTAACAGAGTTTTCATTGTGATTCCATTTCTGTTGTTAACTGAGTAAACTCACATATAAAAAATGTAATTGTTCATGCAGCAATTTTTATATATTTTTGTTTGATTTGTGTAGGGAGTGTATCAAGATTACGATCCTGAAGCATGAAGACTGTGAGCAAGTGGCACGACGATAGATATTCATAATACATTCCAATGTACCTATTCTCAGATTTTATTTCTTTTTTATTTAATAACTGTACATGGAAGTCTTCCATCAGCTACATAAAGGACCACTAACTACAGCTCATTGTCTGGTTAGTTAATTCCACCCCATTCTGAAGATCAGCAGTCAATGGGGTCTATGTGTGTGCTATGGATGTGATGGCTTCAAAGGAAAAAAAAAACAAAAAAGAAAAAAAATCACCTAAGTGTCTATTAATGTTTGACTTTCTACTTGTATTCTTACTTGTTTACCAGTGGTTTTGTATTGTTTCTATTTTCCTACACTTTGACTGTTGCATATGTAATTTATTGTATTACTAAGGGAGATAAGTGAATCCCCTATGCCTGAGATTCAGTTCCAATTATGACAATTAGTATAAGGATTCTTAAATATTGCCCAATACACTGCTAATCTTCCATGTATGCATTTTAAAAATGTTCTGTTTTTTATTACATTGTTAACCAAATTTAAATAAGGAATTCAGGGTCCAGCTTAGAATGCCATAGTGGCATAGCATCCACTTAACTTATTGACCATCAGAATGCAGATGTCAAACCATGCTGATAGCAACCCTTTTCCCCTTTCAGCATTTAGCAGGTGCTTGAAGCCCAAAACTTCAGCCAAAAACCCTGGAAAGATGCTAATGGTCATTGTGCTTGTGTCCTAGATGGTGGTACATGGTTTTATTTTTCTTACCAATGTGTGATAAATAAAAAATACCCATGTGGGTAATTTATTTTTACTACTCCTAAATACATCAAAAGGATGGAGCTTACCTTCATTTCTAATCAAAATAATTTAGGAGCCTTTTTTTTTTTTTTCTAGTGGACTAGTAAAAGACTCTGTGGACAATTTTATGAGGTCAGTGGGGAAAGGATAACAAAAATTCTCGATCCTCACACTACTTCACGGGACACCGATGTTGTATAACAACCCAGTGCCCTTCACCACCATGGTGGTGTAATTATATTTTTAATTTGGTTATACAAAAGTTATTTTTTTTTTAATAAAAAAAAATTTGCTAGCACTTAAAATTGTTGGATGAGCAGATTCATTCTTAACAGATATTATGATGGAAGGGATTGTGAGAATCATCACCTAAGTGGATTTGTAAAGTTCGCTCCTCTCTACTTACTAAACCCAATAATTTGAGATGATTTCCAAATGTCCTGTATTTCTGAGATTCAGCATGAACTATGCACCAAACGGTTTCCCTTTCATGTTCTTCTTTGCTTTGTGTTTCTCAATCATACTAAAGAAAAGCCTGATACATAACAAAAAGGATAATGCTTGATGAAGTACAGCTCGTTGGTATGCATAACATATAATGCATAATGTATCAGCAAACCATATTCTTTGTAAATAAGCATTATATTTTAGTTCTGTCTATTTACAGCAGTTGTTTCACTCTGTTTTGTACATTCTGGTTACATAGCCCGAAAAGCATTACATTAATACATATATTGAACTTTTATACCTTTTTTTAATTGCTTCATTGTTTTGTGTAGAGAAGCTATTTTTGAGGTGGGTTGTTTTAGTGAGCCATGCAAGTGGGTACAATGTATGAAAAGTGTGCTAGGAAGATAATGTATGCATATAGCAACCAAGCAACTTACATCCATACACGCCATGGCTTTAAATTAGAACAAGCATTCAGATTTTGTTATGGTCAACTGCAATTTACTTGTTATAACCCTTTTCTTACATAGGTCTCACACTGATTTGTGGAGGAGCAGAAGGGAACAAGGCTACAGTTGAGTGTATGTTTGCCTGCAGCAGGCTGACTTTCTAAACTGCACAACTTATTGCAATGTTGGAACTGTAAAACAGGGAGTGACCATAAAAGAAAGAGACTCACTGCTCCAATTCCACCAGACTGCAGATAAATACAGACATCAGGTGCAGGCTGCAGTGTGCTCCCACTCGTCAAACAATATCTTTCCAATCAGCCGCACAAAACCGAGGTCCATAAAAATCCAACTTTATTGTTGTAAATTCCATGCAAAGTTCAAAATACAAGGTATACACCACCATGGTATATCTCCCACTCCAACGCCTTTCACGCGTTTTACCACCTTGGCTTAATCATAGAGGCAACATTTTGAACTTTGCATGGAATTTACAACAATAAAGTTGGATTTTTATGGACCTCGGTTTTGTGATGCTGATTGGAGAGATACAGGAAGTGACCATGTTATGGTTACATAATCACTTACTTTCTGCCCATCCCCGTTGGCACCTCTGGAGCCAGCTTTTGCAGCTGCTTCCTCACAATTCTTCAGGCATCGGCACTAATGAACTTAGGGTCTACCTGTCATTCAACACAGAGCCGAGGTGTGCATCAGTTTATGACATGATGGTTAATATTTCTGATTTAATGTCCTTGCTATGGTACTCCTTTTTGTGGTTTGGGAAACCTGCGGCAATTTGAAGATGGTGTAGTTATCTAGTATCTTCATTTTGCCATGGCTTTCCCAAACCATGAAAAGAGATGCCATAGTGAGGACATTAATTCAGCTAATATACTGTACATTACATCAGAAAGTGGACTAAGATGAACATGCCAAAATGTAAACTTAGGATTTTGGGTGAACATGTGCCTTGCATGTAAAAGGAGGGAATGTACGTATGTTGCTTCAGCGAAACTTAAGTTAATTGCCCTATCAATTGTTTAAAGTTAAGTAGATTTCCCTATTATAGCTTAGCTATAATTGGCTTTGTACAAATAGTTAAAAGTCGAACTATGAGCAAATAAAAATGAATATTTGATGGAAGTTCTTACTAAGTATATATTTTCAAATTTAAAAGAAAACTCAATAGCCACATAGATAAAATGATTTGTGATCCTGTCAGTCAGAGGTACTTCCTCTGACAGGGTGATGACGCTAATTCTCCTCCAATAAAATCTCTCAGCATTGTCACCCTGTGTCGCAGTTGTAGCCACTAGGGTTTTCTGGCTGCATGCTCATTAGGTTAAGGGGAAGTTTATTAATGTTGTCATCAATGATAAACCTCGTCCTCAAACATGTCAGCAGCAAGACACACCCAACAAATATTTTGATTGACAGCATTGCACTGTCCATATCTCCTGTTGTGAGGAGCTTCCCTGCTATGTCGCTCTAAAGACCTTTTTTTTAGCTCCTATGATGACATAATTATTACAAGGGCAAAGAGGAAAATCCCAGGCAATTTTAAAAAAGGGGGGAGGGCGGTCTACAGGAAAAAAAAGGTTGTTAATTAGGTTGTGTCTATTAAGGGACTAAGAAGGTTAAGGTTTTGCTCATTATTTTGCATAAGATTCCAAAAAATTAAAAAGGCACAGGGTTGGTTGCTGTGGGCATCTTTCTTGACTTTACATTTCACCAGTGTTTTTATATTATACCCGTGGTCTAAATATACATTTTGGCTTTGAGACATTTGCTCAGCGTTTTACATCCAAACATTTGGGTTGAAAACTACTGATGAGAAAACTAGTTCATTCTCAGAATAAAGAAATAAATATTTATGTATTTATGGATGAAGAAATAACGGAACTATTTCTAGAAAGACATATTTTTTAAAGAATTCTACGATTTCAAGCCTAAGCCACTGATAAAATATTTGATGCAAACCAAGAAGACTATTTTGTAAAGTCAGTTGTCTGCTATTATTCCATGGGAAATATTGATTCTAAAAGTTTGGCCTATTAATAAAGTAACAGGAAACTTTCTCCACACATTTTCAGCATAATTGAACCAACATAAACCAGCAAAATCTATATAGGTTTTGTAGATTGATGAACTTTCAACCTCTTTTGCTGGTGAAAGATTTGCTAATAATTTGTAGCATTCAACATTTTGCATTATAGAGAATGAAAAAGAAATGCCCTTAAAACTAAACTGCAGTCAGATATTGAAATAACATCACCATTTAAAATTACTCTAAACTCAGAAGTTGTATCTTAAAAATGCATTCAAATACCTTAATTGTTAACAAAAATGTATCTTATTTGTGTATCACTCAGCTGTCGATCCTCCAATCATCTCTTAATTTATGCTGACACTGTCCTTCCTTCTGGAGGGTGGCTACTTCCGTTCTCCATGGTTCCCGCCTGTGTTGTAATGTAGCCACAGCCCCAAGCTCACTCCCGTGATGGACTACAATCACAATACAAATTATTAAACTAAACATGAGATTGTAGTCCTTCATAAGAGTGAGCTTGGAGCGGTGGCTACATTACAACACACACAGGGACCATTCAGAAGAAAAGTAGCCCCCCCTCCTGAAGGAAGGACAGTGTCAGCACCAATTCAGAAATGATCTGAAGATCTACAGCTGAGAGATACACAAGTAAGATACATTTTTCTTAACAATTAAGTCCTGAGTTTAGTCTCACTTCTAGTTATGTATATTTCTTGATATTTGCCTCCTGTAATCTTCTGAGTCATAGCACTCAGACTGGGAGAGACAGCAATCTGCAAGTCAGGGCTCTAATGCAATGCACAGCCTAATGCTAAACATGCTTAAAGAAACAAACAGCAATGAGGTGACTCCATCATTGTACTTCTCCTCATCAATCGTCCAATCACAGGCTGGGGCAGGAGAAGTAGCTGATGACTCAGAAAAAGTGATTTTAAGAGAGGTATTAATCTGTACATGTAGGTGATGCTTACAGCCATAAAAGTATATGAGGCATTATCGGGATCCTGCGATTTTGATTTTTTGCCTGGTGGTTTAGTTTTATTTAACCAATCCGAGGTTGGTCACACTAGTGACCAATCTGTGTACTTTAAACCCGTGGTTCTCAACTGGTGGGTCGTGACCCCGTGTTCAGTGGGTCGCGGCATGCCTTCCACTTCTTTAGGCGAGAGGCTCCTCTGCCTCACCCTGGCCCAGCATTGTCAGTTCTCGCACCAAGCAGCCATGCTGCTCGGCGCTGAGTGTCAGCTTGAGGTGGGATGGGATGGGGCTATGGCTGTGAGGGAGCTCCATCCATACATGCATTGCTTACAGCTCCCTCATATGTCTGATAGAGGTGCCTGGACCGGAGTGACATCACATTCTGGCTCCCAGCACCTCTACAGAGCGCGCAAGGGAGCTGTACAAGGAATGCACATATTGATGGAGCTCCATCACAGTACAGCAGCCCACACTGGACCCCAGGCTGAGGATCCACTTCAGTTCTCGTAAG